AAAGAAAATGAGATAAGAAATGCATTTTTGTCGTCCTTCTGGGCTCTGGATTCTTAATAAACCATAACTTCTCGGATACTTTGAAGCTATGTTACTTAGGATAAGAATCTGATGATCCATTTGCAGATGGCCGCTGTTGCTGCCTTGTGCGTGCAATACGAGGCTGACTTCCGGCCAAATATGAGCATTGTTGTCAAAGCTCTTCAGCCACTGCTAAATGCACGACCTGGACACGGTGGTGAGACACCAAGCTCATAACTCTCTCTCTCTCTCTCTCTTGTTGTTGTGGGCCTATATGTGTGTGTGGACATGTTCACATATGCATGCGAAAATATATGACAAAGGGATTGTCTTAAAAAGGCGGTTGTAATTTGTTTATTCTAGTTTTCATGTGCTTCTATATGTACACTGTATTATCCCATTTGTTCATAAGGTGTGAGGTTGTCTCTTTTTTGCTTCCCTGTCACTACCATACTTTATGATTTGATATTGAGAATCAATTTCTTTATTCATTCAAAGCAATTGCTGCTTCTTTACCCAAAATTTTAGCTTCTGTTTCCTTTACTGCAAAAGGCGAGTTTCCCACACTTATAGTCATGTTATACCATTGATTTCGAGGATAATCTGTTTCTTATGATGATCGCACAAAACGTTAAGTCAATTGGGTGGCACAAAATTTAACAGGAAACAAACTCTGGTGGACTGCGTGAGTGGTCTATTAAAGATAGATTAAAATACCGATTTTTAACTTTCAAATTTATATCAAAATTACTTTTTAACTTAAAAAAGTATTAAAGTTGTTTTTGAACTTTAATTTTTATTATCAAAATAATCTTTGAACTTTGAAGATAAATATTAATTTATTTTTAAAAATTTTAAAGATAAGTATTACTTAATCTTTAACTTTTGAAGATAAATATTAATTTAATCTATCAACTTATATCAAAATTATTTTTTAACTTAAAAAAGTATTAAAGTTGTTTTTGAACTTTAATTTTTAGTATCAAAATAATCTTTGAACTTTGAAGATAAGTATTAATTTATTTTTAAAAATTTTAAAGATAAGTATTACTTAATCTTTAACTTTTGAAGATAAATATTAATTTAATCTTTAATCTTTAATTATAAATATTATTTTAATTT